TCAGGAGTTCGAGACCAGCCTGACCAACAAGGTGAAACCCCAGTCTCTACTAAAAATACAAAAACTAACCTGGTGTGGTGGTGCACGGCTGTAATCCCAGCTACTCAGGAGGCTGAGGCAGGAGAATCGCTTGAACTCAGGAGGCAGAGATTGCAGTGAGCTGAGATCACACCACTGAACTCCAGCCTAGGTGACAGAGCGAGATTCTGTCTGAAAAAGGAAAAAAAAATGAGTTTGGGATTCTTTAACAGGCAGGTAAACCCGCCCAGATTTGTTATACATATTAAGATAGTTGATTTTATTTCTGTCATCTTACACACTATTTTATATTCTCAAGATTGTTGCGTGGTTTTCTTTTTGCCCCTCTTGCGTTTTATGGGTTATATCAAGGTCTCTCTCTTTCCTAGCTGATATGGTTTGGCTGTGTCCCCACCCAAATCTCACCTTGAATTGTGATAATCCCCACATGTCAAGGGTGGAGCCCGGTAGATGTAATTGAATCAGGGGATGGTTTCCCCATACTATTCTCATGGTAGTGAACGAGTCTCAAGAGATCTGATGGTTTTGGGAATGGAAGTTTCCCTGCACAGTCTCCTTCCTGCCTCCACGTGGGATGTGGCTTTGCTTTTCCTTTACCTTCCGCCATGATTGTGAGGCCTCCCCAGCCATGTGGAACTGTGAGTCCATTAAACCTCTTTCCTTTATAAATTACCCAGTCTTAGGTATGTCTTTCTTAGCAGCGTGAGAGCATTGGCCCATCGTCCTTCCTTCAGGTGGCCCAGAAACTACACCTCATATTTCCCTTCATCATATTCACATAATTAGTATGAACTTATCACAAATGTGATGGTTAATCTGCATTTCCAGCTTCCTTTTGAAGAAAGACTGGAGAACGTTTGAACACCACTGTCCTTCCCCTCTCTCTCTTTTTCCATGTAATTATTGCTTAGTTAATTCTTTACTCCTTTCCAAAATAATTATAATTAATAATATTTTCTGTCAATACATATAAAGTGTTATGAACATGTTTTATCTTTTTTCAACATCTTTTCTTATGTCTACCCTTTTATTTTTGTTTTTGTTTATTTATTTTTGCAATGGAGTCTTGCTCTGTCACCCAGGCTGGAGTGTAGTGGTGTGATCTCAGCTCACCGTAACCTTCACCTCCTGGGTTCAAGCAATTCTCTTGCCTTAGCCTCTCGAGTAGATGGGATTACAGGCATGTGCCACCATGCCTGGATAATGTTTGTATTTTTGTAGACACGGGGTTTCGCTATGTTGGCCAGGCTGGTCTCAAACTCCCAACCTCAAGTGATCTGCCTGCCTTGGCCTCCCAAAGTATTGGGATTACAGGCATGAGCCACTGTACTGAGCCTGCCTACCCTTTCTTTCTAAGATAACTGCCTTTTGCTGAAAATATTCCTTAGTAGTTTTTTGATCAAGAGTTTTTGGGTTCATGTACAACCCAAATGCCCATAATCCCTTCTCATTCTTCTATGATGCATTAGAAGGGTTTGGAAGTCTGAGTTCAGAGTCACTGTTGTCTCAGCACTCCGGAAGCCGCAGTCCTTGGTCTTCAGGAATCCACTGTGGCTGTCGGGAAGTCAGCTGACATTCCAGTGATCCTCCCATTTTAGGTTATCTGTGGTTGTGTTTATACAAGTCTCCTTGTCTCCACCATTGCCCTTTACTGAGCTAGAGCTAACAGGAGATTTTTCACTTTTTTAACTGGGTTCGGTCTGGAAACTTATGTCCGTCTTCAATCCTGAAAATTCTCAGCCAAGATATCTTTCAGTATATCCTCTCCTATCCTCATCTTTAAACCCTCTTAATGATAGGCTGGGACTTTTTGTCCAAAACCATAGAATGTACACCACCAAGAGTGACCCCTAATTTAAACTATGGACTTTGGGAGAAAATGATGTCTCAATGTAGGTTCATTGATGGCATCAGATAATGTACCGTCTTGCTGCTGGGTGTTGACAATGGAGGAAGCTATTACATATGTGGGGGCAGGGGGTATATGGGAACTCTCTGTACCTATGCTCCATTTTTCCGCGAAATTAAAACTGCTCTAAAAAGTAAGTCTATTAAAAAAAAAAAAAAAACCATGAGCTCAAGAGTTAATAAAATTACTACTATTAAAATAAAAAAAGGAAATAGGCCAGATGCTGTGCCTCACGCCTGTAATCCCAGCACTTTGGGAGGCGGAGGAGGGAAGATTGCTTGAGCTCAGGAGTTCAAGACCAACCTGGCCAACATAGTGAGACCCCATCTCAATTAAAAAAAATTTTTTGGATAAAAATATAAAAATGAAACAGAAGGGAAGATGGATGGACATAAAAGGATGTGTGATATAATGTTTGAGGTTGAATTAGCAGGACTTGGAACTGATTGAATGGAATTTGGAGTTGGAGAACCTGACTGACGGGATATTGGTCTTCAATTCATAGTAATCATTTTTGATCAATGGCTATTATAGATTTTTCAGGATATTATACAATTCAGCTGTTACAAGAAGGTTCTTTCACAATCTAAAATTTAGGCCAGGTGTGGTGGCTCACACCTATAATCCCAGCACTTTGGGAGGCCGAGGCAGGCGGATCACCTGAGGTCAGGAGTTTGAGACCAGCTTGGCCAACATGGCAAACCCCATCTCTACTAAAAATACAAAAATTAGCTGGGTGTGGTGGTGCACACCTGTCATCCCAGCTACTCAGGAGGCTGAGGTGGGAGGATTGCTTGAACCTGGGAGGTGGAGGGTGCCCAGATTGTGTCATTACACTATAGCCTGGGTGACAGAGGGAGACTCCATCTAAATAAATAAATAAATAAATAAATAAAATAAAATTTAATAGATCTATTCCAACATTGATCCACTAAAAAATAAAATAAAATTTAGTAAAATCTGCCTTTCCTTGAACTGAAAAATTTTTAAAAATTTAGCAGAATCTTAACCCCGGCTAATTTTGTATTTTTAGTAGAGACGGGGTTTCACCATGTTGGTCAAGCTGGTCTCAAACTCCTGACCTCAGTTATTCCACCCACCCTGGCCTTCCAAAGCCCTGGGATTACAGGTGTGAGCCACCATGCCTGGTCTTGTTTACATTTTTATGCAATAAAATAAACAAAAAAGGTTTTTTGAGACAGGGTCTTGCTCTGTCTTACTGGAGTGCAGTGGTGCAATCATAGCTCACTGCAATCCTGACCTCTCAGGCTCAAGCAATCCTCCCATCTCAGCCTCCTGAGTAGCTGGGACTATAGGAATGCACCACTATGCCCAGCTATTTCTGTATTACTTGTAGAGATGGGGTTTCACCATGCTGTCCAGGCCAGTCTCAAACTTCTGGGCTCAAATGATCCACCTGCATTGACTTTCCAAAGTGCTGGGATTACAGGCATGAGTCATTGCACCCAGAAAAATTAAATTCTTTTTTTTTTTTTTTTGGTGGTGGTGGTTTTTTTTTTTTTTGAGACGGAGTTTCACTCTTGTTACCCAGGCTGGAGTGCAATGGCGCGATCTCGGCTCACCGCAACCTCCGCCTCCTGGGTTCAGGCAATTCTCCTGCCTCAGCCTCCTGAGTAGCTGGGATTACAGGCACGAGCCACCATGCCCAGCTAATTTTTTGTATTTTTTTAGTAGAGACGGGGTTTCACCTTGTTGACCAGGATGGTCTCGATCTCTTGACCTCGTGATCCACCCGCCTTGGCCTCCCAAAGTGCTGGGATTACAGGCTTGAGCCACCGTGCCCGGCACAAAATTAAATTCTTAAAACTTACCCTCAACTGTAATCACTGTTACAAAGTTTAAGCCTCTGATATTACTAAAACAGTATGAAAAGATGTTATAAGAGTTAAACGTCATCATGAATTGGTAAAATATGATACCATATTCGTGTAGAACAATGGTCCCCAACATTTTCGGCACCAGGGACCGCTTTTGTGGAAGACAGTTTTTCCATGGACAGGAAGCGGATGCAGAATGGTTTCAGGATGATTCAGGCACGTTACATTTATTGTGCACTTTATTTTAATTATCATTACATTAAAATACATAATGAAATAATTATACAACCCACCATCATGTAGAATAAGTGGGAGCCCTGAGCTTGTTTTCCTGCAACAAGATGATCCCATCTGAGGGTGGTAGGAGACAGCGATGGATCATCAGGAATTCGATTCTCATAGGAGTGCACTTCCTTTGCATTCACAGTTCACAGTAGGATTCATGCTCCTATGGGAAACTGATGCCTCTGCTGATCTGATAGGAGGCAGAGCTCGGTCAGTGATGCAAGCAACAGGGAGCGGCTGTCCATACAGATGAAGCTTCATGCACTTGCTCGCCACTCACCTCCTGCTGCGTGGCTTGGTTCCTAACAGGCTTCGGACCAGTACTGGTCCACGGCCAGGGGACTGGGGATCTCTGGTATAGAACATCACTTTTGTGCCAGGCACGGTGGCTCATGCCTGTAATCCCAGCACTTTGGGAGGCCGGGGCAGGCGGATCATGAGGTCAAGGGATCAAGACCATCCTGGCTAACATGGTGAAACCCCGTCTCTACTAAAAATACAAAAATTAGCTGGGCTTGGTGGCAGGCACCTGTAACCTCAGCTACTCGGGAGGCTGAGGCAGGAGAATTGCTTGAACACAGGAGGCGGAGGTTGTAGTGAGCTGAGATCATGCCACTGCACTCCAACCTGGCGACAGAGTGAGACTCCATCTCAAAAAAAAAAAAAAAAAAAACCAAAAAAAAATTACTTTTTTAAGAAAAAAAAAAAAAAGTTTCTGAGTAAGCCAACACAGGTACATTGTACAGTGAGAACTGATAATGAATATCACTATTTCCTATTTTAAGTTATCTAAGATGTAAATGTTAATTGATAGTGCATGGTTTTTTGCTTGCTTCTTTGCTTATTTCTAAAAATACTGACAGGAGCTGCTGGCTGTCGATGTCCCTGTGCTGTTTGTTTTGCGGTGTTGATGGCACGTTTACGACAAGAAACTCCAGACCCAACATCGTCCTGCTGATGGCAGATGACCTTGGAGTGGGGGATTTGTGCTGCTATGGTAACAACTCAGTGAGGTAATGATGGACTGTGACCCCCTCCCTGTACGTGGCAGTTGCGCAGGTCACAGTGCTCATGTCTTTGCCATTGCAGAGAAGGGTTTCTGGAGAAAAGGTATTGTCTGATTTTATCAGCAGGAAAAGCAAAATGCTTAGCATCCCCGTTCCCTTAGTTTCTAGCTGGTGGTGGTGGCATTGTTGTGCAAAATTCACATTAAAATGTCAGCCTTGTTTGGCCAGGCATGGTGGCTCGAGCCTGTAATCCCAGCAGTTTGGAAGGCCAAGGTGGGAGGATTGTTTGAGTCCACGAGTTTGCGATCAGCCTGGGCAACATAGAGAGACCGCGTTTCTACAAGAAAATTTTAAAAATCTACCAGGAAGTAGTGGTGTGCGTTTGTGGTCTCAGCTACTCAGGAAGCTAGGGCAGGAGGATCGCCTGAGCCAGGGAGACTGAGGCTGCAGTGAGCTATGATCCCACCACTGCACTCCAACCTGAGTGACAGAGGGAGACCGTTTCAAAAAAAAATTCCCCTTTTAACTATTTTAAAGTGAACAATTCAGTGGCATTTTGTCCACTCGCAGTGTTCGACAACCATCACTTCTGTGTAGTTGCAGAATTTTTCACCGCCCCCCAAAGAAGACCCCCATTTTCCATCCTATCCCCATGCCCTGTTAAGCCCAAATGTACCCTCTGCCGCTATGGATTTGTCTCTTCTTGGAATTTCATACACAAATAATCATACGCAGTATTTATTTTCTCAGGCTGCCATGACAAAGGTCCACAGACTGGGTGGCTTAGTTAACACCAGCTTATTCTCCTGCAGTCCTGGAGGCTGGAGGTCTGAGATCCAGTGTGGGCAGGGCTGGCTCCTCCTGAGGCCTCGCTCCTGGGCTTGCAGACACCGTCTTCTCCCCGTGTCCTCACAGGGTCGTCCCTCTGTGTGTGTGTCCCCTTCTTCTAAGAGCATCAGTCCTATTGGATGAGGGTTCACTTTAATGACCTCATGCTACCTTAATCACCTCTTCAAAGACTCCATCTTCAACTACAGTAGCATTCTGAGGTCTTGGGGGCTAGGACTTCAGCGTAGGAATTTGGGAGGGACGTAATTTAGCCTTATTCATATGATATGTGGTCTTTTTTGTCTGGTTTCTTTCCCTTAGCATAATGTTTTCAAGGTTCATTCATATTGCAGCCTGTGTCAGCTCACGGCTGAATAATTTTTCCTTATATGAATATAGCGCATTAGTCTACAGGTTTTTTTTTTCATTCTAATAGAGCTGGGGTTTTACCATGTTGGCCAGGCTGGTCTTGAACTCCTGACCTCGTGATCCACCCACTTTGGCCTCCCAAAGGGCTAGGATCACAGGTGTGAGCCACCATGCCTGGCCTTAGTCTACAGTTTCAAAGATAACTTCCTTGAATCATTTCTAAAGTCTCTGGGCTCTTTATTTCTCTACTCTCTATTGTTAGACCAATCTGGCTCCTGTGAAAATTCATAGCATCTTTTAGTGTGGATTTAAATAACACTGTTCCTTCTTGAAATGCAGATCACAGGCTAGTCCTATATTTTAAGTATATTTGTTGATTGGAAGTCATTGGCCTCCTTCTTACTGTTTTCTTTCTTTCTTTCCCTTTCTCCTTTCTTTCTCTCTCTCTCTTTCTTTCCTCTTTCTCGCTTTCTTTCTTTTCCTTTTTTTTGAGACAGGATCTCACTCTGTCAGGCAGACTGGAGTGTAGTGGCATGATCTTGGCTCACTGCAGCCTTGACCTCCCAGGCTCAAGTGATCCTCCCTCCTCAGCCTCCTGAATAGCTGGGATTACAGGCATGAGCCCCCACACCCACCTGATTTTTTGTGTTTCTTTTTGTAGAGGTGGGGTTTTGCCATATTGCCCACCCTGGTCTTGAACCTCTGAACTCAAGTGTTCAGCCCCTTTTTGCCTCCCAAAGTGCTGGGGTTATAAACGTGAGCCACCATGCCCAGCCTTTATTATCATCTTTCTGTGGGATTATGGAGAAAAAAAGTCATACACATGGAAAGAAGATTGGGTATGGTTTAGCTTATGGGAGAACAGGCACATCTTTTTTTTTTTTTAAACCTGTAGAATTCTATAAGTTTTACAAAATTTTTACAACATTTTGAAGACCTTAAAATATTAGACAAACAAAATGGAAATAAACTCCAAAATGTCACAATTTGATTATAAAATAGGTCAATTTTACCGTAAGATATACATTAATGGGAGGCTGAGGTGGTAGGATCATTTGAGGCCAGGAGTTTGAGACCTGCCTGGGTAAAATAGCAAGACCTGTATCTCTGCATAAAATTTTAAGGCCAAGCGTGGTGGCTCACACCTGTAATCCCAGAACTTTGGGAGCCTGGGGCGAGCAGATCACTTGAGGTCAGGAGATCGAGACTAGCTTGGCCAACATGGTAACACCTCATCTCTACTAAAAATACAAAAATTAGCTGGGTGTGGTGGCTCACACCTGTAACCCCAGCTACTTGGGAGGCTGAGGCAGGAGGATCACTTGAACCCAGGAGGCAGAGGTTGCAGTGAGCCGGGATCACACCACTGCACTCCAACCTGGGCAAAAGAGTGAGACTCTGTCTAAATAAAATAAAATAAAATAAAAATTTAAATAAATTAGTAGGTCATGGTGGTGCACACCTGTGGACCTAGCTACCTGAGAGGCTGAGGAGGGAGGATCACTTGAGCCCAGGGAATTCAAGCTTGCAGTGAGCTATGATTGCACCACTGTACTCTACCCTGGGCAACAGAGCAAGAGGCTGTCTCTTAAAAAAATATGAAACACATTAAAATTTTACTTAATCTAAATTACCTATTAATTTTAGGTCCTTGATAAGAACAAATTGGCTAACTTTTCCATTGAATTACATTTTTTTCTTAGACTCACAAAACTGTATTATACAGTGATCTGTATACATTTTTAATAGTTTTGACTGAAGATATAGTTTATACTTACATTTCCATCAATGCATCTAAGGAAGTAATCAGGTTAAAGTTTTAAAAAGATGGATTTTAGGTTTACCAGAAATAGAGTCAACTTGACCCAAAATAGAGTAGCTTTGAGCCTTAATCATTGTATTGAGCATTTTTAGAAACTCGCCTGCTGAATTCTTCTTTGATCTGAAGCACACCAAACATTGACCGCCTGGCAAGTGAGGGAGTGATGCTCACCCAGCATCTTGCAGCTGCTTCCATGTGCACCCCAAGTCGGGCTGCCTTCCTGACCGGCCGGTACCCCATCAGATCAGGTAAGGCAATAAAAAGGCAGCAACATTTCAGTATTACCAGAATGTATTATAATGATTAGTTTTTGCAAATCTTTATAAGAATTCCCAAACGGTCACTCAGAGTATTAGGAATCTAAATTCAAAGGGGGATGTTATCCCTTGGACAACTTAAACAGGTGTGCCTCTCACTAGGTACCACCACACCTGCCCATCTCTGTGCATATAGTGACAGAGTTTAGGCCTCTTGGGGGCAATTTGCCAACTTACGGTGAACACTCCCATTTTCAGGTACTTGTGTTAAGATTTCCCAAGAGGCTTCAGTGTCTTTAAGCCAGCAGAGACTGTGCAGTGGTTCTGAGATAAGTGGATCTAATCCATCTCTGAGAATGAGATTGGAAAACTAGACACAGTTGGGAAAAAAGTATAACTGAGAAAACAAAAAGGAAATGACACTTTTACATATTCCGTTACTTGACCCCATAATTTCAAGATTTAGACTTGCCAAATTGATATAATGACAATTAAATGTTTTCCTTTGCAGCTTAGCTTAGAATCAATACCTACAAACATCCACTCAAAATCAATATTATGAACAACAATTTTTATACCCAGCTAAAATATAGAGGTGGCCTTAGACACTGTTGAAGTATTCATGGTTATCAGCCTCTATGTGAAATATTGCCCCATACTGCTGTATTTTATTTAATTCTAGTATTCGTTTGTCATAATTTTGCTATACCTGCCTTCACAGTTAAATTTTTCAGTAACAAATTTTTCTGTATGAATTTTCTTCCAAGTAGTAGGTTTTCATCCAATACACTTGAAGAATGAACTAATTAGGTTAATGAGAATTATGCTAAAATTAATAGTAAACATTGAAAGTTTTTGTCTCATAAATATTGTTATATTATTATCTAGTTTTGTTACCTAATGACCTTCTTTCTAATTCAAGGTTTTCCATTTTGTTCAAAACAGTTTGGTTTCTAGATAAGCAGTCTCTGTATAACACAGTACCATCTACAGAAAGGGATAAAGATATGAATCTGTACAAGTTTCCAAAAAAATCACACTTATAATTTCAGAATTTTTTTTGAGATAGACTGTTGCTCTGTTGTCCAGGCTGGAGTGCAGTGGTGCGATCTCAGCTCACTGCAATCTCCACGTCCCTGGTTCAAGTGATTCTTCTGCCTCAAATCCCGAGTCACTGGGATTACAGGCATGCGCCACCACTCCTGGCCAATTTTTGTATTTTTAGTAGAGATGGGGTTTCACCATGTTGACCAGGCTGGTCTCAAACTCCTGGCCTCATGTAATCCAACCACCTTGGCCACCCAAACTGTTGGGATTACAGGAGTAAGTTACCATGCCTGGCATAATTTCAGAAAGTTTTAAGTATTGATTACAGTGAAATAAAATTTATTTTTAAAAATTAAGAAAAAAATTAAGTGATTGGTGGTCATTGCCATGTGTATATTTTTAATCATTTGACACAAACTGTTCAGTTTAATTCATTCTACTTATCAAAAATTTCAGCAAAACAGTTCAACACCAAAATAATAGTCTAATACTTCCCTTAGTGAAACTGTTTCTCTTTCCTATCAATGACGCTATGTAGAGTCTACTTTCTTCTTCTTCCAAGATAGGACCCTGAAATACTTTTTTTCTTTTGAGATGGAGTTTCATACTTGTTGCCCAGGCTGGAGTGCAATAGCATGATCTTGGCTCATTGTGACCTCTGCCTCCCAGGTTTAATCAATTCTCCTGCCTCTGTCTCCTGAGTAGCTGGGATTATAGGCACCTGCCACCATGCCCAGTTAATTTTTGTAGTTTTAGTAGAGACGGGGTTTCGCCATGTTGGCCGGGCTGGTCTCCTGACATCAGGTGATCCGTCTGCCTTTGCCTCCCAAAATTCTGGGATTACAGGCATAAGCCACCAAGCCTGGCCTGAAATTATCATTTATTTATTTCTTGTTGATCTTCACTTGTGGTTTTCTTATAAATTCCTTTTAAACTATAGGTGTGTAAATTTGTCTACCAGGATAAATCTACATAAAACAATATGGAGGCCAGGCATGGTGGCTTACACCTGTAATCCCAGCACTTAGGGAGGCCAAGGTGGGTGGATCACTTGAGGCCAGGAGTTAGAGACTAGCCTGGCCAACATGGTGAAACCCTGTTTCTACTAAAAAACAAAAATGTCCAGATGTGTGGCACACACCTGTAATTCCAGCTCCTCGGGAGGCTGAGGCACAAGAATTGCTTGAACCTGGAAGGCGGAGTTTGCAGCGAGCCAAGATTGTGCCACTGCAATCCAGCCTGGGTGACAGAGTGAAACTCCATCTCAAATATATATATATGGAAAAGACATTGTCACTGCTACATTTCTTCATTTCAGATTCTCAGTGACACATTTAAAAATGTATTTATACCCAGCTAAAAGGCAGTGGTGTCCTCAGATACTATTGAAGCATTGAAGGTTATCAGCCTCTACATGAAAAGCTAATGAAGGTTGTTTGTTGTTAGTCTGAAATTCATATGAGTATAACTGAGTGTCCCATATTTATTCTGACAACCCTAATTCCAAGGTAATGTTTGCATTTAGCAAGTGGGAAAAGGAGAGTCAAGGACATATAGCCAGAAAGGCGACAGAAAACTTGGGGAATAATAGCTTTGAGGAGGTGCAGGAGGAGAGAATTTTAAGCATGTTGCAATGAATCTGCTATTAGCAAAGACTATAGTGCTAACCCACTGACGTCTGTGAATTTAGGGATGGTGTCTCCCTACAACCTGAATCGTGCCCTCACGTGGCTTGGTGGATCAGGTGGTCTGCCTTCCAATGAAACGACTTTTGCCAAGCTGCTACAGCACCGTGGCTACCGCACAGGACTCATAGGTATGGCGCTGGAACTCTGCCAATAGAAACGTGATCCTGCAGCCTCCCTGTCATAGTGTCTAAGGTATTTCCAGGGATGTTGGCTCTATATGTGACAGTTCACTGACTTCTCTTAGAGATAAGACACTTGAAGAAGAAATTGATCACACATTGATTGTGGATGTCTAGAATCAAGGGCATAATGTTGGAAAAACAATGAGAACAGAAAGCAAACAAGTGTGCCCAAAGTTGCCCCTAAAATGAAATATTGTGTTGGAGGGATACGATGTTTGTGATACCATTAACAGCAGAAAAACTAGTAAATTTGTAGAGAACTACTGTTGAAATTGAGAGCTTAAAGCATGAAGAGTTGTCAATCACTGGTCGATTTAGGTCACATAATATTCTACGCCCTTTTGGAGCGGGGTGGACGTGAGCTTGTGAGGGAGACTTTCACCAAAAAATAAGCTTGTCTGTAGAATTACAGTCTTAGAAGATATTCCTCTGAATAACTTTTGTGACCAAATCTTTTTGGGAAATGCTACCCAAAAGCATTGTATGGTTCACTGTTTTGGAGGATTTTTTTTTTTTTTTTTTTTTTTTTTTTGAGATGGAGTTTCACTCTTGTTGCTCAGGCTGGAGTGCAACGGCACAGTCTCTGCTCACCACAACCTCTGCCTTCCGGGTTCGAGCAGTTCTCCTGCCTCAGCCTCCCGAGTAGCTGGGATCACAGGCATTTGCCACCATGCTCAGCTAATTTTGTATTTTTATTAGAGACAGGGTTTTTCCATGTTGGTCAGGCTGTTCTTGAACTCCTGACCTCAGGTGATCTGGCCGCCTTGGCCTCCCAAAGTGCTGGGATTACAGGTGTAAGCCACCACATCCGGCCCTATTTTTGAGGATTTTTAATGTGAATTTTAAGCCACAGCTCTGGGATATCCTCAGCTAAAAAAATGTTTCCATCAATAGGGCATGTATTCCCATGCAACCCCCAGCAGCGTTCTGTGAATAATTCTCTAGGTTAGCTTTGCAGTGTTCTCACATTGTCAGAGCGTGGGATTCAGATCTGACTCTACTACTATTAATTAATGTGACTCAGGCTTCTGAATAAATCTAGATAGCTGGGCACAGTGGCTCAGATCTGTAATCGCAGCACTTTGGGAGGCTGAGACAGAAGAATTGCTTGAGGCCCGGAGTTCAAGACCAGCCTGGGCCACCATAGCAAGACCTTGGGTGTACAAAAATAACATTTTAAAATTAGCTGGGTGTGGTAGCACACACCTATAGTCCCGGCTACTCAGGAGGCTGAGGTGGGAGGATCGCTTGAGCCCAGGAGTTCGAGTCTGCAGTGAGCTAAAATCATGCCACTGCACTCCAGCCTGGGCAACAGAGCAAGACCCTGTCTCTTAAAAAAAAATCTAGATAATGTGTTTTCTATTCATAATAAAGGGTCTGGGACTGCTGGACACAATAATGTGTGCAGACAGATCCGAACATGACCCGGCCCCTCGCATATGCGCTTGATCAAAGGAATTACTTGCATCATCAGAATCATTTGGTTCGTGATGAAATTCTTTGGCTACTTTGTCATTCCTAGCTTGGGGACCTAGAAGAGGTGTTCCACCTATAAAATCTCGATTACATTTCAGTGAGATGGAAGGAGAGGATCGTAAGGCACTGCTAGATAAAAGCACGAACGTGCGAGGTGCGCCGGAAATCCTTGCTACTGTCCCCACCAGACAGCCAAGACATCGATTCTGGCTTCCTAGCAAGCTCCAGATACCTGGAGAGTTTCTAATTGCTCATGAGGTCGTTTGGTATCAAGCAAAAGGTTTCTTCTGAATCCGATAGTAGGCTCCTCTCCTGGTAGCAAGCACAGAGGTTCCTGCTGCATGGTTTTGTCTGACAGAGGCATATGGTAGGGAGAAGCCTGTTGGCGGCATGGCTATGCCAGCGAGGTAATTGGGAATACCAGGAAAAAAGCATGATGACAGCAGAGTGAGAGTTCTGTTCGACTTTTTCAAAGGGAAGCCCACATCCCAGAGAGCGATCAGCCTTGAGCACTACCACGCTGCCGTGCTACGATTTTATTTTACTTTTAGGCAAATGGCACCTGGGTCTGAGCTGCGCCTCTCGGAATGATCACTGCCACCACCCGCTCAACCATGGTTTTCACTACTTTTACGGGATGCCTTTCGGACTTCTAAGTGACTGCCAGGCGTCCGGGAAGCCAGAACTGCACCGCGGGCTCAGGATCAAACTGTGGATCTCCACGGCACTCACTGGCCTCGTTCCCTTCCTGCTTCTCATTCCCAAGTTCGCCCGCTGGTTCTCGGTGCCGTGGAAGCTCATCTTCTTCTCCGCTCTCCTTGCCTTTCTGTTTTTCGCTTCCTGGTACTCCAGTTACGGATTTGCTCGGCGTTGGAATTGTATCCTTATGCGGAACCACGAAATTATCCAGCAGCCGATGAAAGAGGAGAAGGTAGCTTCCCTCCTGCTGAAGGAGGCGCTTGCTTTCATTGAAAGGTATTTAGTCATTTCTTGCCTGATTTCCTGCAAGGAAATTTTATTTTTATTTGACAGCAGGTCGTCACATCGCACCCTGATAACACAGGCCTTTAAAAATCTTTTGGACAGAATGTTCGGTATTTGGTTTTCTGTTCCTGCATTAATTTGCTTAGAATAATGGCCACCAGCTGCATCCATGTTGCTGCAAAGAACATGCTCTCATTCTTTTTCATGGCTGTGTAGTATTTCATGGGATATAATGGGAGCTAAACATTCAGCCACCGTCGATGTCAACATGGAAATAATAGACTCCTGCAAACTTCTAGAGGAGAGAGGAAGACAGGTACACATGGGTTGGAGACTACCTACTGGGTGCCATGCTCACTGTCTGAGTGCAGTATACCCATGTCACAGACCTGCACATGCACCTCCTGTATCTAAAACAAAAGCTGAGGAAAAAACATTTTAGGTGACATTTATGGTAGACTTCAATCTCTTCTTAGGTTAAATAAAATAGTTAAATTTCCTGCAAATTTTGAATGCTCAAAAGGCAAAAACAAACAAACAAACAAAAACTGTATTTCTTTGCTCACTTCCCCATTTTTAACGTTTTAATATTTTTACTTTTTGAGACAGGATCTCACTCTGCCACCCAGGCTAAAGTGCAGTGGTGTGAACGTGGCTCACAGCAGCCTCCACCTCCTAGGCTCAAGTGATCTCCCACCTCAGCCTCCGGAGTAGCTGGGACTACAGGCACACACACTATGCCTGGCTAATTTTTGTGGGTTTTTTTTTTTTTTTTTTTTTTTTTCGTAGAAATAGGGTTTTATCATGTTGCCCACGCTGGTCTCAAACTCCTGGACTCAAGTGATCTGCCCACCTTGGCTTCCCAAAGTGCTGGGATTACACTGTGCCTGTCCACTTACCCCTTTTTTAAAAACAAAAATCTAGGCCAGGCGCAGTGGCTCACACCTGTAATCCCAGCACTTTGGGAGGCCAAGGCAGGCAGATCACAAGGTCAGGAGTTCAAGACCAGCCTGACCAACATGGTGAAACCCTATCTCTATTAAAAATACAAAAATAAGCTGGGCGTGATGGCTTGTGCCTGTAATCCCAGCTACTCTGGACGCTGAGGCAGAAGAATCGCTTGAACCAGGACCCAGAAGGCAGAGGTTGCAGTGAGCTGAGGTCACGCCACTGCACTCCAGCCTGGGCTACAGAGTGAGACTCCGTCTCAGAAACAAAACAAAACAAAACCCAAAACAACAACAACAACAGAAACCTGGAGTTACATATTTTAATCTGCATTGCTTCCGTGTGGATTGTTATCTAAATTGATTAAACTTGGCGGGTAAATTTTTTTTCTCTGTCTCAGACACAGCTGGAAGAGCTCTCTGTCCATGAACTTTTGGGAAGTGGCTCTGTATTTATAGAAACCTGGTTTTAACTTTTCTATGTTCAATACAAGCTATGCAGGCATGACTAATGAGCTCTCATCACCCCACACCAGCTCACTTCTACATTACAAATTATTATTATTATTTGGAGACAGGGTCTCACTCTGTCACTCAGGCTGGAGTGCAGTGGTGCAATCATAGTTCACTGTAGCCTCAAACTCCTGGACTCCAGTGATCCTCTCACCTCAGCCTCCTGAGTAACTGGGACCACAGGCGCACATGACCACACCCAGTTAATTTTATAAAATTAGTTTTTCGTAGAGACAGGGTCTTGCTATGTTGCTCAGGCTGGTCTCAAACTTCTGGGCTCAAGCAATCCTCTTGCCTCGACCACCCAAAATACCGGGATTACAGGCGTGAGCCACTGTGCCAGCCTAGATTACAAATTAGAGGCACATTCGAATTGTTGGTGTAGAGTTTCATTGACACTGTTTGTCACCTTCCTTAGTGGGGCTGAAAGGGAAGGGAGAGGGCACGCAGGGGAATATCCTTCACTCATATACCCCTGTGCACACCAGGTCATTTATTCCAACACACCCGCAAGGGCGGTGATGCAGCCACCCAGCCAGCAATCCGGTCATCTCACCCGCCCCTCCCATCCCAACGCATTTGCTTGGGCTAGCCTTGGGTGAATATATTCAATCTCCATCTCCCTCCCTTCTTTCTACGCGGGTTGTAAAAATGTGTAAAGGAGAAGCTTTCGAATGACTGCATGTGATATTAAAAAGCAGAACACAAGGTCAGGCATGGTGGCTCATGCCTGTAATCCCAGCATTTTGGGAGGCTGAAGCGGGAGGATTGCTTGAGCCCGGCAGTTTGAGATCAGCCTGGGCAATATAGTGAGCTCCCAAGTCTACACAAAATTTTAAAAATTATGCAAGCTTGGTGGTGTGTACCTGTGGTCTCAGCTCCTGGGGAGCATGAGGTGGGAGGATCACTTGAGCCCAGGAGGTCGAGGCTGCAGTGAGCTGTGATTGCACCACTGTACTCCAGCCTGGGCAACAGAGTGAGACCTTGTCTCAAAATAAATAAATACATAAAATGCAGAACACAAAAAGCAAGATGTAAATGAGGGGAATTGATTTCTCTCTTGTGGTAGGCAGGCTATAGATACAGTGAGGCTTTTATCTTGTTCTCTGCCATCCTGTGTGAGCAGCTTCATGGACCAAAGTGAATGCCAAAGCTCCAGCCGTCAGACTTATGTTCCAGGAACCATGAAGGAGGTGGAAGAAAGAAAGAAGGGAAAACGGAGCGTAAGGAGCATCAAATCCTTACTGAGGCACATCTGAGTGTGTCCTTAAGATATGTTTCTTCTAAACTCATACCTAAAAAACACTTTGAGATAATAGATGAGGAGAATTCATATTTTTTAACCCATTCAACAAAGATTAAAAGATTTATTAAGCTGCTACTTTATGTCAGAAGCTAAGCTGGACCCAAGAGAGTATAAAACGAACTGCATTAAACATTGTTTTTTGTTAAGACGGAGTCTCACTGTGTTGCCCAGGCTGGAATGCAGTGATGTGTTAATAGCTTACTGCAGCCTCCACCTCCCAGGCTAAAGTGAGTCCCTTGCCTCAGCCTCCTGAGTAGCTGGGATCACAGGTGTGCCATTATGCGCAGCTGTATTTTTGTATTTTTTGTAGAGATGGGGTCTTGCCATGTTGCCCAGTCTGGTCCTGAACTCCTGGGCTCATGCAATCCTCCTGCCTCAGCCTCCCAAAGGGCTAAGAATACAGGCATGAGCCAGTGTGTCTGGCTACATTAAACATTTTCTTGGGAACACAAATGTTCTGTTAGCTATCATACCTTCTCATATCCTTTCAACAGAAATCTTGTGGCATTGTCGACTTACGGGAGTGGTATTGTCATCTAAAGTACATAGGAAACCTCCACCAACTGCTATCAGATCTTTTCATCAGTGCAGAATCACATTTAAGTGGCGGAAATGACTTTGTCTGTGAGGGTAATTTTGCTAACTTTCTGCCCCTTAGGTACAAACGGGAACCTTTTCTCCTCTTCTTCTCCTTCCTGCACGTACATACTCCACTCATCTCCAAAGAGAAGTTTGTTGGGCACAGTAAATATGGCAGGTACGGGGATAATGTGGAAGAAATGGATTGGATGGTGGGTAAGTATTCCGTGATGCAACTGGAAATATCTCAAGTGTGGGCGACAGGAAAACGAACCTGAACTAACTGCCTCAAAGAATGTCCAGGCCCTTGCATAGCATAGATACCTGATAAGTGTTTGTTTCATCCCTGAATTGAATTAAAAGCTGGCTTTTAGTTGTTCATCAATACCAGTAAAATACATTCCCCAAGATGAGTGTCACAGTTTGTAAACATCGGTTTTCCCATCTTTAAGATAAAGACAGCCACTTTTCAGAAAAACTCACTGGCAAGATAAATAAAGTTGCACTGTAAAGAATATTGTAATTCCGGGCCAGGCACACAGTGGCTCACGCCTGTAATCCTAGCACTTTGAGACGCCTTGGCGAGCAGATCACTTGAGGTCAGGAGTTCTAGACCAACCTGGCCAACATGGTGAAACCCCGTCTCTACTAAAAATACAAAAATTAGCCGGGCCTGTAGTCCCAGCTACTCAGGAGGCTGAGGCAGGAGAATCGCTTGGACCCAGGAGGCAGAGGTTGCACTGAACCGAGATTGGACCACTGCACTCCAGCCTGGGTGACAGAGAGAAACTCCGTCAAAAAAAAAAAGAATATTGTAATTTCAATTCCTGGTTATTTTGATGGATATGAAAGGAACCATTATTCAGAGTAGTTGATTTTACAGAAAATATATATAGAAATTTGGGGTGAGAGTTTAGCCCAACTAAAGCAATTTATTTCAAAGGCATAGTGGGCCATATAAAGAAATACTAAGGATAATAAATGAGCAGACGGGAAGCATCGCTACCGCACTCTGCAATACAGAATAACTGTGCTATTTGAACTGCACCCCACACCCCTATGAAGACTGTGCCATGCCAAACCATTTAAACGAACAATCACCCAGTTATCAGCTGCCTCTGTCTATTTATAGTGAGTGCCTTTGAAAGAAACAGAGCTATTTTAATTTAAATACATTTAAGGGGTGTTAATCAATCAACTTTTATTATAAATAACTGTTTTTCTCTGTAAAACACAATCTAAGCGAGCTATAAAATACTCGTTAAAATTACTGAAGAACCAGGGCTGCCGATAGGACAAAGGGAGGACTCTTGTCACAGGATAAATTTCTTTCTTTCTTTCTTTCTTTTTTTTTTTTGAGACAGTCTCTCTCTGTCTCCCAGGCTGGAGTGCAATGACGCAATCTCGGCTCACTGTAACCTCCGCTTCCTGGGTTCAAGCGATTCTCCTGCCTCAGCCTCCTGAGTAGCTGGGATTACAGGCACCCGCCACCACACCTGGCTAATTTTTGTATTTTTAGAAGAGACAGGGTTTCGCTGTGTTAGTCAGGCTCGTCTCAAACTTCTGACTTTGTGATCCGCCTGCCTTGGCCACCCAAAGTGCTGGGATGACAGGTGTGAGCCACCGTGCCTGGCCAAATTTCTCTGTTGTATTTCCGCTATATATGTTTACCTAAAATTCTAAGAACCATTGTAATATTTGCCATCTATATTTAATCTCAAAGAGGAGATCGAATACAAAGAGGTGCAGGGAGCGGTGACTCATGCCTGTAGTCCCAGAACTTTTGGAGGTTGAGGTGGGAGGATTGCTTGATCCCAGGAGTTTGTGACCAGCCTGGGCAGCATAGCAAGACTCTGTCTCTACAAAAAAATACAAACATTAAGCAGGCATGGTGTCATGCACACGCCTTGTAGCGCCAGCTGCTTAAGAGGCTGAGCTGAGAGGATCACCTGAGCCTGGGAAGTGGAGGTTGCCATGAGCCAAGATTGCACCACTGCACTCCAGCCTGAGCCGCAGAGTGAGAGCTTGTCTCAAAAAAATAAAATAAAATAAAAAAACAAAGGAAAGTCAGTGTTACCAGGAAGGCATTTAAGCAGAAATGGGGAGGAAAAAGGGAATTTATTAACAGGAAAAACTTAAGGGCTTACAGGGAACTAATCCCTGACATCAAACCTCTTTTTAAGCTTGTTGAACTAAAGCAAAGCTCTGTATTTATTAATGTAATCTTTGCTGTGGGATGTGTGTATGTGAGTGTATATATATACTCACCCAGTTACAGTTATTTTATTTGCATGGTATAAATTACAAATCACTTTTATGCATAATACAATAGCCAGATTTAATATGAGGTAAACTATACACACATACCATATGTTATATACATATATATCCACACACAGATGCCATATGGTTTATATGTATATACACGTTATGTTTTATATAGATACACATAGTACTGTACATTGCATATATGCACATATAATATATACAGTGTAATTCCTTGGTAATGAAATACAAACATTGAAATGTGTTACAGTTAAAAACAGCTATAAAATTGTAGCCTTAATATAATTAGATAATTGGGTTTTTTTTCTTTGCTTCTTTTGAAATTGCTTACTATAGTAGTACTTTTAGCCAAGGGACAGTGTCCTGCAAAGGGAATTTCTGTTACAGTCTATATCTGAGTATTTATCACTAAGAAATAATCATGTTTATTTGAAAATATATGTAAATACATGATGAAGACGTGTTACGAAAGCTAGCAGTTGCATCATTAAATGGCAAATATTATTTTACGCAGGAGAAATGATGAGTAGTGATTTTTCTGCATAACATCTCCCAAATATTCTGACTTTTCTCCATCATTCCTTATAAAATTTCTACCGAAATAAAGACATTTTGAAAGTCAGACAGATATCTCTGTGGGTATTATTTTCCTATTTAGCAGCATGAGTATAAAACTCAAAGGTTTAGTAAATTATTAACTTTACTCGAAAATAAGCCATAACAATACTATACTCGTGCAAATGCAAATACAGCAAGCAAAATGAACGTAAGGAATCTTGAAGAATTCAGTGACATTTTAAACTTTCCAATCAAAGAAACTTGCGCCTATTAATCACTTTTTCTTTTTAAGAGACAGGGTCTCACTCTTTTGCCCAGGCTGGCTGGAGTGCAGTGGTGCAATCACAGCTCACTGCAGCCTTGACCTCCTGGGCTCAAGTGATCCTCCCACCTCAGCCTCCCGAACAACTGGGACTACAGGTGTGGGCCACCATGTCTGGCTAGTGTGTGTGTGTGTGTGTGTGTGTGTGTGTGTGTGTGTGTGTGTTTCGTAGAGAAGGAGTTTTGCCATCTTACCCAGGCTGGCCTTGAACTCCAAAGTGCTGGGATAACCTGTGTGAGCCACCGCACCCAGCCTTAATCACTTTCCATTATTGGTTTCTTTTCAGGTGCCTTTGGTAGGAGGTCTTGTAAGTGACCTATTACCATTTGTATTTATATATTCATACGTATCTGTCTATATACATTTTAGACACTATATGGACAATTATTTACATATATATTTGTTTTGAAACAGAAAAAGAATTTACAGCTATCATATTTGTGCAGTATAAATTACAAATCACTTTTATGATTTTTTTATACTATAGCCAGATCTAATGTGAATTAATAATTGACATCTAATTATTCTCCTCCCAGAAAGCCTTTATAATCTTTCATCTTACAAACTCTAGGCTTTAAAAAAAATCTTAATTTCTAATGATAACATTTCTGAAAAATAGTACATGTCACTTGTAAAACAAATGACTTTTGAGGAATAGATAACGAAGATGAATGAGTTTGCGTAGAAACAGTTCTCCGTGCAGCATTTTCTTTTATCTGTGAGAGTGACCTGGTGTAAATTAGAAATGCAGTGTGCATCTGGCCCAGGGTGATGTTATCTGTGGATTCGCAAATGCTCAACAGAGAGCGGAAACTAAATCAATGTTGTTTGGAATTTTGCTAGATCAGCTTTCTACTTATTATTCTTAAAAACTGTCCTCCTGAGGGATTGTCAACACATCACAGACAGTGTCTGCTGAGCCTAGCGCAGGACTGTCATTAGATCTTCACCGTAACCTGAACAGCAAGAGTAACCTGCAACGTCCATGTAGACTTCGGATAGCAGCCAGGACAGCAGAGTCTCTGAGAGAGGAGACACTGTGCCCTGGAGTACGGGAATGGCTTTGCTGATGTGTTCCTGGAGATGTCATTTTCCAAACTGTATTTTTTTAAATTGATGTTCATCAGTTTATTTAACTGCTGGGCCTAATTGGCACTGTTTGAATTGTTCGAAGCAATGATGACATTACACATTATTACATGATTTGTATAATAAAATATACTTTATTATATATTAGGTAATAAAATAATGAACATATTATACAATATAATTATATAATAAACCAATACTTTGTATGTTATATATAAACTATTCTAGATTTTAAATTAATATAATTAGTGTATTTAATATATTTAATATTTATAATATATTTATAATTACATCAATATAAGATTAATTAATATAATAATATGTGACATATTATACAATTATCTAAAATAATACAGTGCATATTTCTATAAATGATACAAATTTATGATAAAATTTTATATATTTGATATGTTATAAAATTTAATATATTTATTATATAGTATATATTTATTACATATATTGATATTTTATCTTATACTTATATTTTCTTATATTTTGTATGAAGAGACATATTTTTACATATTACATTGATATACAAAATACTATATTATAAAATAATACATGTTATATAATTATATAACAATTTTTACACAATGATATAGGGTATTATTAATCATTACAAACTATTATATAATGATATATTTATTGTATCATTAAATCATATGGTATAATAATACATAATATGTATTATTATACATATTATGTATTATATGTATAATATGTATAATATGTAATACATAATATGTATTATTATACATATTACAATATATTTTGTTCTATTCCATAACTGATTATATTTTAATATACAACAATTCTTTATGCATTACTAAAATATCATGTTCTATATTAACATGTACTTGGAAGAAATATGTACCATGCATCCTATAATATATAATAAATATATAATTAATAATTTAAAATGTATAAAATTGTACATTATTACATTACATATACAGATTGCATTACATTATACATTAAACATTTTAACTGCTGGATATAATATATGTATTATATACACTATATTACATACAGTTTAAAATAGTCTAGATTACAGTATTATATAATAGTTATTAATTATACAATATTGTGTAATGCAGAATAAGCTTTCAACGCTGTAATAAATGCATAGTAACAGACATGTAATAAAGCAGTGGTGATCTGTACTGAGAGGTCAACATTTTTGTGTCTCTGACCCTCATCAGGTAAAATCCTGGATGCCCTGGACCGGGAGCGCCTGGCCAACCGCACATTGGTGTACTTCACCTCTGACAACGGGGGCCACCTGGAGTCCCTGGACGGGGGTACCCAGCTGGGTGGCTGGAACGGGATCTACAAAGGTGATTGTAGTCTCTATTGGCTTTGCATTTGCTTGAATTCATTTGCCACGTTGTTCAGATATTTTTATGTGAGTTAGACTCTTACTAAGCCAGGCAAAAGGGGGAAAAAAAGCTGCAAATTTTGGGGCAGTTTCCGAGAGCTTCAAAGGAAAATGTGAGAGGCAATGTCAACCCCATGAGAGGAAGCATAGGGTCTCAGTGACCATCTGCGGCAGCTCTCCCAGCCTCTGCATGATTGACATTTGAGGCTAGAGGATTCTCTGGCTGGGGGCATCCTGTGCATTGTAGGGGTTGAACAGCGTCCCTGGGCTCTGGGTGAGAAGTGCTCCTTTGGATTAATCCTCACTTGGATACCCAGATGCACATTTTTAATTCAGTAATATCGATGATGCTATTCATTATGCTTTAGTGAGTATGATGTGGATCAGAAAAAAAGAGTTATTCATTTGACTGGGGTGCCTCCCTCCTCATGGTTGGCAGATTCTTCCAGCTGACTTTGATAGACTTTACGTTGTGTTATTCAAGAACTCCGTGGTGCCCACTCTTAGACATCAGCAAAGCCATGCCAACAGAAATAATCATTTAAAAAAGAATTTGGTATTTGTATTTTCTCCCTACCCTCTAATCTTCTAAGTAAAACAAAAAAACTAACAGGGTATCAAAATTGTCATCATTACAAAATCAGAATGTTTGGACTCCCTTGTATTTTACTAAAAAGTTTGTGTTTGTGTGTGTGTGTGTGTGTGTGTGTGTGAGATATGTATTTTCCTATAAATATTCACTGTGTTTATTTTTACCATATTAATTATGCATAATAAAACATATCATACATATTTGTCATATGTGATATATATAATCCTATATATATTCACTATTTGTATGTAGTTACTATATTCATTACATATAACACATATAATCCTATATAATATATTCACTATGTTATATATAATACCTGTAATTCTACACATTTACTATATATAATATACATAATCCTATGCATATTCACTATGTATATATAGTCATTATATTCATTATATATAACACGCATAATTCTCTATATATTTACTATATTTATTGTATAGACCTTTTTTTTGTATATTCATTATATATAATATATACAATTCTATATATATTTACTGTGTATATATGGTCAGTATATTTATTATATATAGTATATATAATTCTATATATTCACCATATACAGTATACATAGTCACTGTATATAGTTACTATATTCATTGCATATTACACATAATCATATATATGCACTATATTCATTGTGTATAATATAAATAATTTATTCACTGTATTCAATATAATATACGTAATCCTATATATACTTACTATGTGTATACAGTCACTATATCCATTATGTATAATATATATAATTCAATATATATTCATGCTATATTTACAATATAAAATTCTATGTATATGCACACACAGATAGGAATACATATAGGGTTGTATGTACTGGATCATATTATTGTAAATTATTAGAAGTGAGCCTCTGAAAGCATTCACATCCTCTGGCTTGTCATGTGAACTTGCTGTAGTCATAACTGTAATTAGCAAAGATTAATTGCTACTAAGCCTAGTAGAAAAAGTGAGGAACAGATTTGGATGACCATTTATATGCCCTCTAGTGAAACGTGATTATTACAATCATGATGATTCTAACAACGGTACATATTATATATTATAATAATGATTCTAATTGCATGAGGATGTGTGAGTGTAAAGCCCTGTCCTTAGAAAGCACACATAACCCTGAAATAGGCCTGGCAAAATTCTTCCGAGCATTTCTCACATATTGGGACAGGTTACCTGTTTCTCAGGTGCTTCCTGTGAAGCAATGAATTCATTGGATAGAGAGATTTGGATCTCCTGGGTAGACGCTGGGTTTTGTTCTAGTCTAGTTAGTTACACCCCGCAGCTCTGCCCCACAAAGATACAAGTTATTAAACAAGATGAAGAAAACATCAGGATGGCTTTATGATTGTGTGTTAAAAACACATAGATCTGGTTCAGGGAGCTTGTCAAGTTTTTCTGATTTACCAAGTTTTCTTCTTTAGAATGGCGCTACTCGGGAGGTTGAGGAGGGAAGGATCGCTTGAGCCCAGGAGTTGGAGACTGCAGTGAGCTATGATCATGCCACTGCACTCCAGCCTGCGTGACAGAACGAGACAGTGTCTAAAAAAAAAAAAAAAAAAAAAAAGGATGGTGCCAAGAAGCTGAGATGCTATTCAACAGTGTTTAGATCAGTGAACGTTTCTGCGGTGACTTTTACCTCATTTTCTGCTAGAGGCTCTGGTTTTGTGTTTTCTTTCTAATGCTGCCTGTCAGACAGGTCCACACACAGAAGGCATTCAATGAACATTTCACATAGGAAGAGATCTTTCCCCCCAGAGAGGCTCCTATTTTTTCTTAAAGAGTCTAGACATATGGTCTTGGCAACGGCATTTGGCATAGGGCCATTTTTCTATTCTGTAACAAATGCCTCAGTCTCACGATTGATCTTACAGCAAGGGCTTCATTATTTGCTTGGTGCTGAGAAATATCCAAGGGGCCTTTTGTCTAACAAGTGATTCTCAACATTTTTTCTGCCTCTGGCCATTTTTCTACTCACACTCCTCTCTTGCTTCCTCTATATGGGAAATCACGGGGTAAAGTCAAATTTTTTTAGCTTGTTCCTCAAGGACCATTATAACATGGATAAAACCTGTCATTTTCTTTTCTTTTCTTTTCTTTTAGTTTTTTTTATTTTTTGGAGACAGAGCGTCACCCTCTCACCCTGGCTGGAGTACAGTGCCACAATCTCAGTTCACTGCAAACTCCGCTTCAGCCTCCCAACATGCCCGGCTGCTTTAAAAACTGTTTTGTAGAGATGAGGGCTCACTATGTTGCCCATGCTGGTCTCAAACTCCTGAGCTCAAGCAATTCTCCCACCTCGGCTTCCCAAAATGCTGGGATTACAAGCGTGTGTCACGACGCCTGGCCAAATGCGTCTTTCTAGTTTGCCTTTGCATGCCAAACAGAGTTGACCTTTTCGATCTTTCAAGCCCATTCTGATTCCAATAAGGACTACGAACTTACCTGTTTATCAAATGCCCTCCTTTCCCCTCTTACAATATAGAAAGTTCATCTCATTCATTGCCACATATAGTGTGCTATCTTAAGACGGCGCTTGTTTTCATTTATTGTTATTGAACACATCACTTGTATGCTAAAAGTTGACAACTAATGTTTTAACTATTGGAAGGTTAACCAAGAATGCTATCTCATGGTTCTTTTGTATCTCTCTGTGAACATAGCACACAGAATAGAGTAAGACCTCCAAAAAGTTACATAGAGATTTAATTTTCTCTTCAGTAGAAAATGACGTGATTGGGTTGGTTTGTTTGAGACAGAGTCTCACTCTGTTGCCCAGACTGGACTGCAGTGGCACAATCTCAGCTCACTGCAACCTCCACCTCCTGAGTTTAAATTATTCTCCTGCCTCAGCTTCCTAAGTAGCTTTGATTACAGGTGCTTGCCACCACGCCTGGCTAATTTTTTTGTATTTTTAGTAGAGACAGGGTTTCACCATGTTGGCCAGGCTGGTCTTGAACTCCTGACCTCAAGTGATCTGCCCTCCTCAGCCTCCCAAAGTGCTGGGATTACAGGCGTGAGCCACTTCGTTCAGCTGATATGGTTAGGTTTCAACTCATCTTTGGTTGTGTTGTAATCTTTGGTTTTAGGTGGCAAAGGAATGGGAGGATGGGAAGGAGGTATTCGTGTGCCAGGGATATTCCGGTGGCCGACGGTCTTGGAGGCTGGGAGAGTGATCAGTGAGCCCACCAGCCTAATGGACATCTACCCGACGCTGTCTTATATAGGTGGAGGGATCTTGCCCCAGGACAGGTATGGAAACCATAGTTGCTCCTAACCTAGGGAGATATATTTGGACACATGTGGCCATACTTGGTAATTCTATGTGTGTGTGTACGTACATAGTATATTACATAATTATCAATATTCTGCCCATAGGGCCAAATGTCTTTCACCCCTTGATACATGGTGAACCTTAATATCCTTTGTCATATTACACTTATGCATACATGTGTTTGACTGTTCTCATGGATGGAATCTGATTCTCATACATCATCACAGCCCTCACAGCTTCTAGGCCATTAAGCAATTAAGTGTTAAATGATTACTGAATAAAAACACACATGTATAAAGCAGTTTTGGGAGGCCGAGGTGGACATATCACTTGAGGTCAGGAGTTCGAGACCAGCCTGGTCAATATGGTGAAACCCCCATCTCTACTAAAAACACAAAACTTATTCTGGCATGATGGCATGCACCTGTAATCCTGGCTACTTGGGAGGCTGAGGTGGGAAGATAGCTTGAACCTGGGAGGTGGAGGTTGCAGTGAGCCCAGATCACGCCTTTGCACTCCAGCCTGGGTGACAGAGCAAGACTCCGCCTCAAAAAAAAAAAAAAAAAAAAAATGCTCGACTCAACCATGCCTCTCTTATCACCTTCTGTACACCCCCATCTCTCCCAAGAGTGATTGACGGCCAGAACCTAATGCCCCTGCTGGAAGGAAGGGCGTCTCATTCCCACCACGAGTTCCTCTTCCACTACTGCGGGGTCTATCTGCACACGGTCAGGTGGCATCAGAAGGACTGTAAGTATGAAGACCGTGGACACGTGGGAAGACGATAAGGGCCCTGTTCCTGTCTCCTTTGTCTCCTGGGGGAAACTGCGTCACGTGCCGATATTGCCCAGCCTTGATGGCTCTTTTCTGCTGGGAAAGCCACATAAACAGACAGTGTACTGCAGTAGGATTTTATTTTATGTTTTACTTTTTTGAGACAGGGTCTCACTCTGTCACCCAGGCTGGAGTGCAATGGTGCAATCTCGGCTCATCTCCAACCTCTGCCTATCAGGTTCTAGTGATTCTCCTGCCTCAGCCTCCTGAGTAACTGGGACTACAGATACTTGCAACCATGACCAGCTAATTTTCATATTTTTAGTAGAGACGGGGTTTCACCAAGTTGGCCAGACTAGTCTCGAACTCCTGACCTCAGGTGATCCACCCACCTTGGCTTCCCAAAGTGCTGTGATTACAGGCATAAGGCAGTCAGTACTATTTGTTAATTTATATTGTTTGCATGACTCCCATAGCATGAATGTGGGACAGAAACAATCGCTAGCATGTTAGGAAGAAAGTGGACAGGAGCAACTGCCGTGCAGGTCACACGGAAGAACTTCCTCCTTGTTGCTAGAATAATTACTTCGGTCATCCCTGAGTTCATATTCTCGTTTTTTTCTCCCTCTCTCATGTATACATTCACACAAGCTAATGCACACAACACACCCACATTAATCATGTTTTCTTAATTTTCTGTATCTTATAATGTTTTGACTTTTTTTTTTTTTGAGACAGGGTTTCACTGAAGAATTTACTCCTTGTTGCACCTTTACAGCCAGCTAAGTTTTGTATTTTTTAGTACAGACAGGGTTTCTCCATGTTGGCCAGGCTGGTCTCAAACTCCTGACCTCAAGTGATCCATCCACCTCAGCCTCCCAAAGTCCTGGGATTATAGGCGTGAGCCAGCATGCCTGGCCCGCAGTAGGATTTTAGAGAGATGTGTGTGTGAGAGAGAGATTTGTGCCCAAAGGGTTTCAGTTTAAATTTCTTAAAGTTTTAAAAGATAGAGAAAAGATCCTACTCTGTGGCCCAGGCTGATCTCGAACTCCCAATCTCAAGCAATCCTCTCTCCTTGGCCTCCCATATGTGTGGCCCACCAGTGGAAAGGGTGCTGTGAGTCACACCTTGGGAGGTAAATGAGTGTTGACACAGACAGGTCAATGCCATTGCAATATTTTCATGACTTAGATTTCCCAAGAGAAGGGATAATACCTCACCACACAGGTTCATGGTGGGAAGTACCAGGGCTTGGCTAGGAAGCAGATGCAGGAAGGAATGAAGAGCCTAGGCCACAGCCTTTACTGTTAGAGTTTCCAAGGGAAAGGTCAGGCGGGACAGTGTCAACAGCTTCCTACTGGCTAGTTTGAGTAATCACAGTAAGTTTTGGGGCAACAGGGACTGTCCCTAGCTGCCGGGTATCTGGTGCTTGGTTGATTTAGGGCAGAGGAAATATCAGCTTACTGTATGAGAGTTAGATAAAGTAGGTGGTTGCTTGCTTAGGAAGAATGTGTTCCCAAGTGAGTGGTTTCTATTGGTATTAGTCCATTCTCATGCTGCCGATAAAGACATACTCAAGATTGTGTAATTTATAAAGGAAAGAGAGGTTTAATGGACTCACAGTTCCACGTGGCTAGGGAGGCCTTGCTATCATGGCAGAAGGCAAAAGACACGTCTTACTTGGTGGAAGGCAAGAAAGGATGAGATCCAAGCAAAAAGGGAAATGCCTTATAAAACCATCAGGTCTTGTGGGACCTATTCATTACCATAGGAACAGTATGGCAGAAACCTCTCCCATGATTCAATTATCTCCACCTGGCTCTCTCCTTGACATGTGGGGATTATTAAAATTCAAGGTGAGATTAGGGTGGGGACAGAGCCAAACCGTATCACTATTTTTAGGAATTAACTAGCCCTGGGAGGAGCAGTCTTTACCCAAGTCGATAAGGCCCCTCAAGCTGTCAAAATACTAACCTGGCACAGTGGCTTACGGTTGTAATCTCAGCACTTTAGGAAGCCAAGGTAGGAGGATTATTTAAGACCGGGAGTTTGATATCAGCCTGGGAAACACAGCACGACCCTGTCTCTAAAAAAGAAAAAAAATTAGTGACGATGGCACACAACTGTAGTCCAGCTACTCTGTAAGCTGAGTGGTAAGTTTGAGGCTGCAGTTGGCAATGATTGTGCCACTGCACTCCAGCCTGGGCAACAGAGTGAAACCCTGTCTCAAAAAAATAGTCAAAACATTATAGGATACAGAAAAGTAAGAAAACATGATTAATGTGGGTGTGTTGTGTACGTTAGCTTGTGTGAATGTATACATGAGAGAGGGAGAAAAAATGAGAATATGAACTCAGGGATGACCGAAGTAATTATTCTAGCAACAAGGAGGAAATTCTTCCGTGTGACCTGCATGGCAGTTGCTCCTGTCCACTTTCTTCCTAACATGCTAGCGATTGTTTCTGTCCCACATTCATACTATGGGAGTCATGCAGACAATATAAATTAACAAACAATATTAATTGCCTTACAACTGTAAAGAAAGGTCTTTTGGAGTCATTGCATGAAATTCCGGAATTCTTTCTTGATTGAATTTGACTTTCTCTGCAGGAGGAATTTTCTCTGATGGGATCAATCACTTGTGATGTGACTGAGGTCGAATTTTTAATTTGGAATTCCCAGAATTACCATATTCCCACCTGATCATCACTGTTATCTCCAAATGTTCTCATGACAAGATTTCTAAAAACGTCTTCAAGTTTGCAGTAAAATCGTGCCTTGTTCTTAGAGTTGAAGAAGTGCTACTGTTCTGTGTACTTTTGTGCAGAATAGTGTTATCAGTCATTAGAAAGAGCATTTGAGAAAAACATTTTTAATGAAAAGAGTTCTAAAATCTCCACAAAGATGGCATCACGATTCACCTTCTTCTTCTTTTTTTTTTTTTTTTTTTAGGTGCAACTGTGTGGAAAGTTCATTATGTGACTCCTAAATCCTACCCTGAGGGAAGTGGTGCCTGCTATGGGAGTGGAATATGCTCATGTTCGGGGGATGTAACCTACCATGACCCACCACTCCTCTTTGACATCTCAAGAGACCCTTCGGAAGCTGTTCCACTGAACCCTGACAACGAACCATTATTTGACTCCGTGATCAAAAAGATGGAGGCAGCCATAAAAGAGCATCGTGGGACACTAACACCAGCCCCACAGCAGTTCTCTGTGTTCAACACAATTTGGAAACCATGGCTGCAGCCATGCTGCGGGACCTTCCCCTTCTGTGGGTGTGACAAGGAAGATGACATCCTTCCCACAGCTCCCTGAGACCATGGGGACCATTTGTTACCCACCACAAACTTACTGTTACAATGGTCATAGGAGCAGTGCTCAGCTGACCATAACCCCAGTCAGGTGACTGGGAGTTTTTATCCACTTGGGATAAAAACTGATGGCCTCACCCATTGTTTTATCCTCAGACTTCAGTTCTTTCTTCAAGAGCTCAGTGAAATGAAAGTGGGTCCATATAACAGTGAACCTGGAGGGGAGCATTTGTTGTAATTTTTTTCTAGTATATAATTGTGCCATTGCCCAAGGAAAAGAGCAGATCAAGGTGACTTCAGCAGATTCTTGTAGAGCTTTTGTTCCTAGAATTCATGGAAGCGTCAGGTCCAATGTCCTAAGTTAGAAACTTCTGCTTGCAGATCTAGACCCAGAGATGCAAGCTTTGTAATAAATCATTATGAGTACTTAATTTTATCATGAAGCAGAGGGTCACATAAAACTTGAGGTAGTACTATTACAGTCAGTTTGACTTCTTGATTTTCTCTTTTTTCTTCTTTTCTCTTCCTGTCCAACATACATCTGGTTCTGAGAAAAAATGCTGGGCTGAAGTTCCTGACTATGCTTCCTGGTAACTATATCATTGTGGAGCTATCTCTGTGATTTGGTTTCTTCATGTGTAAAATGAGGAAAACCCATGTCTACTTCACAGAGCAGCTATGAGGATTACATGCATTAATTAATGTGAAATCACCTTGTGTAGAATAAGCAGTCAATAAATATTATTATGAATACTGTCATTGTAAGCATCAGCAATTGCAGTTAATTATGATTCCTTAAACACCAAATAAGAAAAATGGGGAAGAGTTAACATTTAAGAAAAAAATAAAGAAACATGACTAAAACAATTATTTCATTGAAGAAAAGCATTTGGCAATACACATAGGAAGTAAATCTAAGCAGGATAAACAAAAATAAATCCAAAATTTGAAGCATCTGTGACTGCAGACTACAAAATACAAAGATCTACAGATGGATATAGGGCAGGTGAGCCCCAAATTGGGGCTTAGTCTGGGAGGGCTCTTGGCTTCCCCCAGGAAAGAATTCAAGAGTGAGCCAGTGGTGGAAGAAACAGCTTTATGGAGGTTGTAGTGTCACAGTTCCGTGACTGCTCCTGCAGAGAGCGGGAGCTCAGGGCACTTCTGCAGTCATATTTATATCCACTTTTAATTGCATGCAGATTCATGGGCAGTTTATGCAGAAATTTGTAGGAAAAGGTTGGTAAGTTCTGAGTGCTCAGGTCACTGCCACAGAAGAGCAGTCTTATGAAAAGCTGCTTCCATGTTTTAGCTAGTCCTCAATTTGGTCCCCTGTCTGCTTCTGCTGCTGCTTCTCAAGCAATCCTCTTTCTGCTGCTTGGGCTCAAGCAATCCTCCTGCCTCGGCCTCCCAAAGTGCTAGGATAACAGGTGTGAACCACCACATTGTGTGGCCAACAATGTTTTTTTTTGTTTTTGTTTTTGTTTTTTTTTTGAGACAGAGTCTTGCTCTGTCACCAGGTGCCAGGCTGGAGTACAGTGGCACGATCTTGGCTCACTGCAACCTCCACCTCCCAGGTCCAAGCAATTCTCCTGTCTCAGCCTCCTGAGTAGCTGGGATTACAGACACGCACCACCACACCCAGCTAATTTTTGTATATTAGTACAAACGGGGTTTCACTATGTTGGCAAGGATGGTCTCGATCTCTTGACCTCGTGATTCGCCCACCTCGGCCTCCCAAAGTGCTGGGATTATAGGCATGAGCCACCGCACCCAGCCTGAATGTTCTTTATTTAATTTAATTTAATTTTATTTTATTATTTTACTTTATCTTTTGAGATAGAGGCTTGCTGTGTCAGCCAGGCTGGAGTGCAGTGGTGTGATCTCAGCTCACTACAACTTCTGCCTCCCAGCTTCAAGTGATTCTCCTGCCTCAGCCTCACGAGTAGCTAGGATTACAGGCAGACATCACCACACCCAGCTAATTTTTGTATTTTTAGTAGAGACAGGCTGGTATCAAACTCCTGACGTCAAGCAATCCACTTGCATCAGCTTCCCAAAGTACTAGCATTACAGGTGTGAGCGACCATGCCCAGCAACAATAAATGTCCTGAATATCACTAAACTGTGCACTTAAACATGATTTAAAATGGCAAATTTTGTTATGTGTTATTTTACCATAATTAAATTATTATTTTTTTTTTTGATATGGGGTTTCGCTCTGTTGCCCAAGTTGGAGTGCAGTGGTGTGATCTCAGCTCACTGCAATGGCTTGAACTTCCCAGGTTCAAGCGATTCTCCTGTCTCAGCCTCCCAAGTAGCTGGTACTACAAGCACGTGCCACAATGCCCAGTTCATTTTTTCTATTTTTAATAGAGACGGGGTTATGCCATGTTAGCCAAGATGATCTCACTCTCCTGACCTCATGATCCACCCACCTCAGCCTCCCAAAGTTCTGAGATTACAGGCGTGAGCCACCACACCTGGCCAATTTTTTTTTTTTTTAAAGAACAATGTAATGCATACCAATTTCCCAAGACCCCAATAACTAAAAAATAGGCTTTCCCTCATGACGATAGATATGGTTTTTGTTTTTGTTTTTGTTTTTCTGAGACAGAGTCTTGCTCTGTCACCAGGCTGGAGTGCAGTGGCATGATATTGGCTCACTGCAACCTACACCTCCTGGGTTCAAGTGACTCTCCTGCCTCAGCTTCCCAAGTAGCTGGGACTACAGGTGCGCACTGCCATGCCCAGCTAATTTTTGTATTTTTAGTAGAGACAGGGTTTCACCATGTTGGCCAGGATGGTCTTTATCTCTTGACCTCGTGATCCACCTGCCTTGGCCTCCCAAAGTGTTGGGATTACAGGTGTGAGCCCCCGTGCCTGGCTGACAATAGATATGTTTGATAAAAATAATAATTTAAGGCATACTGAACTAGCTCTTCCAAGTCACCTAATAACCATCAAAACTACAGATGTTAACTCTTCAAATTCAAAGTATCTACGGAAATCAAAGGATCGTGCTAATAGATTTTTAAAAGGCATTTTTTAAAATTAAAAATCATTAAAAAAATAGTCACCACCTCTACTTTTTTTAATTTAAAAAATCCTCTTAAAGATTAGGGCCTAAGAGATGCTCTCTTAAAATTTAGATGACATCGGCCAGGTGCAGTGGCTCACACCTGTAATCCCAGCACTTTGGGAGGCCGAGGTGGGCGAATCACGAGGTCAAGAGATCGAGACCATCCTTGCCAACATAGAGAAACCCCATCTCTACTAAAATACAAAAACTAGCTGGGTGTGGTGGCGTGTGCCTGTAGTCCCAGCTACTTGGGAGGCTGAGGCAGGAGAATTGCTTGGACCCAAGAAGCAGAGGTTGCAGTGAGCTGAGATCATACCACTGCTCTCCAGCCTGGGGTCTGGTGACGGAGTGAGACTCTGTCTAAAAAAAAAAAAAAATTAGATGACATCACATCATATCTAAATATAAACTTTACTTAAATAGAAGGTGAAGGCTGCACAATAAAACTACCACCAGATGAACATCCAGTGCAAGGATTTATTTTGGGATGGAGAGTGGCTTTCTAAACTTGGAAATAGAGACAAGTTAAGACAGAGCCAACTGGTAAACCTCATTATATGACTTTTAATAAGCACATAATGTCAAATGCAATTAGAAATAGAATTTAAAGAAAAATCATGATGAAAACAATGTCCATTAAATATTAGTGTCTTTAAGGTATAAAGAGCTCATAGAAATGTGTAAGAAGGATAGCAACACTTAAATTGGTCTTAGATTGAAAAATGAATGGGCTGGGTGTGATGGCTCACACCTGTAATCCCACCACTTTGGGAGGCCAAGGCGGGTGGATCACTTGAGGTCAGGAGTTGGAGACCAGCCTGGCCAACATGGTGAAACGCTGTCTCTACTAAAAATGCAGAAATTAGCTGAGCATGGTGGTGTATGCCTGTGGTCCCAGCTACTACAGAGGCTGAGGCACGAGAATTACTTGAACCCGGGAGGCAGAGACTGCAGTGAGCTGAGATCACACCACTGCACTCCAGCCTGGGTGACAAAGTGAGACTCCATCTTAAAAAAAATAAAAGAGAGAGAGAGAGAGAGAGAGAGAGAGAGGGAGGGAGATTTGATAATTGTACATTTAAACAGGGAAATCTGCCTTTGTGATTCATTCAAGAACATTTGTTTAACTCATCATAAATGCCTGGTATATTTCAGGTTCTGCACATACTGCTGAGAGCAAAATTCACAATCCCAAAAATGCCTTAGCATTTGTGTGATTGAGGGAAAGATTGAACTCCCACCAGAGCAGTTTAATTTAGAATAAATCATCTGAGGCTCATGCCTAGTAATCCCAGTACTTTGGGAAGCCAAGATGGGAGGATTGCTTGAGGCCAGGAGTTAGAGATGGTCCTTCCTCCTCCTCTTCCTCCTCCTCCTCCTCTTCCTCCTCCTCTTCTTCCTCCTCCTCTTCCTCCTCCTCCTCCTCTTCCTCCTCCTCTTCCTCCTCCTCCTCTTCCTCCTCCTCTCCCTCCTCTTCCTGCTCCTCTTCCTCTTCCTCCTCCTCTTCTTCCTCCACCTCCTCCTCCTCCTCTTCTTCCTCCACCTCCTCCTCCTCCTCTTCCTCCTCCTCTTCCTCCTCCTCTTCCTCCTCCTCTTCCTCCTCCTCCTCTTCCTCCTCCTCTTCTTCCTCCACCTCCTCCTCCTCCTCTTCTTCCTCCACCTCCTCCTCCTCCTCTTCCTCCTCCTCTTCCTCCTTCTCCTCTTCCTCCTCCTCTTCCTCCTCCTCCTCTTCCTCCTCCTCCTCCTCCTCTTCCTCCTCCTCCTCCTCCTCTTCCTCCTCCTCCTCCTCCTCTTCCTCCTCCTCTTCCTCCTCCTCCTCTTCCTCCTCCTCCTCTTCCTCCTCCTCCTCCTCCTCTTCCTCCTCCTCCTCCTCCTCTTCCTCCTCCTCCTCCTCCTCTTCCTCCTCCTCTTCCTCCTCTTCCTCTTCCTCCTCCTCCTCTTCCTCCTCCTCC